ACAATCAAATATTCAATTTGATTGACTACAGTTCCCTTTTTGTATGCAAAATTCCAAGGAGTAAGGCTGTCTACAATCAGAATTTCATTTGATTGACTACAACTTATTATGAAGAAAGGAGTGAGAAGGAAATTTTCTTTGTATTAAAGAAAAGAGAAATGTATTGCTGTATAGTTTCTTAATTGTATTTTCTTTTTCTTTCTTCTCATTCTTGTATACCTGATGTAAAAGAAAAGCAAATGAAAAGTTCTTTTTTAAGTATCCTATTGTTCTTTTCTTTTGTTCTATGCGTTCATTTCTCCAAGTCAGTATCAAAAAGTGTTCTCTACTTTCTTGTGGGGATGTAATTAAGGGGAACAATCCATATGATTCCCCAAATGGGTCTTACCCAAAATAATAAAAACTCAATCACTTGATTGAGTGAATTACGTTGCATGAGAATTTATTAAAATTTTCACACCAACAGTGGCCAATCAAAAGTAGCAACCAGAGATAGCAAAACCCGAATTGAAGTCATTTTAGCCATAGGAGCAAAAGTTTACAGGTAATCAATACCACACATCTAAGTGTAACCTTTAGCAACGAAACAAGCCTTAAACCTCTCAATAGTACCGTCATAATGATACTTGATAGTGAACACCCATTTACAACGAACTAGTTCCTTCCCCTCAAGCAAGTCCATAAATTCCCAGGTATTATTCTTATGCAAAGCATTTAGTTCAGTCATCATAGTATCCCTCCATTCTAGTTTGGACAAGGCTTCTAGAACAAACTTGGGGATTGCATGTGTAGAAACAAAGGCAAGAAAGGAATAATAGGTTGGGGAAAGAAGGCTATAGGATAGGTGTTTGGAGATGCAATGGGCTGTACACTTCCGTTTGCCCTTGCGAAGGGCAATAGAAAGATCAAGTTTTGGGAAGGTATCAGAAGGGGTAGAGGAGGGCTTACTTGTTACCTTAGTAGTGATGGGAGATGCAAGAAGCTTAGTTGAAGAAGGGGAAATAACTTGCTCATACCTAAGTCTTTGTCTTTGGTACCACCTTTAGACAATAGGATGAGAAATGAATGTGGGAGGATGAGCCAGAGGAGGGGGGCTGGAACATGTGTAGGAGACTCAATAGAAGACTCAAGAGGAATCAGAAGAGGAAGAACCGGGGACATAGCAAATAACTCCTTTGAATGCTCCCCCTCAAGAGAATGGACAAAGAAAGGGATAGACTCTGCAAATGTGACATCCCTAGAAACAAAGTGGGTTCCATGGACTTGATCAAAACAGTAAC